AGTTATCCTCTGAAGCCTGTGTCTGTCTTGTTGGGTTGCAGAATCAAACCAGACAGTTTCAGAGGTGCAGATGACAGACTCAGTAATTCCTCTGTAGAACTGGATCAGCAGCTCCTTGGGCAGTTTGAGCTTTCTGAGTTGGCGCAGAAAGAACATTCTTTGTGGTGCTTTTTTGATGACGTTTTTGATGTTTAGTGTCCATTTTAGATCTTGTGATATGATAGAACCTAGAAATATCAAGGTTTCTACTACTGATACTGTGTTGTCTAGTATTGTAAGAGGTGGTAGTATAGGAGGGTTTCTCCTAAAGTCTACCACTATTTCCACGGTTTTGAGTGTGTCTAGTTTAAGATTGTTCTGATTGCACCACGAGGTAAGTTGTACAACCTCCCCTCTGTATGCAGATTTGTCATTGTCTCAAATGAGACCAATCACTGTTATATCATTTCCAAACTTCAGTATTTTAACAGATGGATCATTTGAGATGCAGTCATTGGTACATAGGGAGAAAAGAAGTGGAGAAAGCACACAGCCTTAGGAGGGGTGGGGGGCTGTGCTAATTGTACAGGTATCAGATGTGATTCTGCCTAACTTCACCTGCTGCTTCCTGTCTGTTAGAAAACTTACGATCCATTTACAAGTGTGTTCAGGTACCGCTAGCAGATTTAGTTTAATTAGAAGAATGTCTGGAATGATGGTACTGAATGCTGAACTGAAGTCTACAAAGAGGCCCTTGCATAAGTAGAGATTCAAGGTGTTGTAGGATGTAGTGCTGAGCCATATTAACAGCATCATATGTTGATCCATTTGCTTGGTATGCAAATAGCATGGGATCTAACAGCAGATCTGTGATGGTTTTCTGGTGGGACAGCACTAGCCTTTCAAAGATTTTCATAACTACAGATATTAGAGCAACTGGTCTGTGTCATTCACTTTCCTGATGGAGGGTTTCTTTGGCACTGGGATGACAGTAGAGAGTTTGACACAAGAAGGAACAGCACATCTGTAGTGATTTATTGAAGATTCGGGTGAAGATGGGGGCCAATTGCTCAGCACAGACTTTTAAGCAAGGAGTTATCTTGTCTGGCCCTGGTGCTTTTCCTGGCTTTTGTCTGTATAATAGATCTTGCACTTCTTTTTCTGTGATCACCAAAGGTTGGGAACCCAATGGGTTGGGGTCAATTGTGGAGGCTTGACTGTTATTGATGTGTTTGAAATGGGGGTTGTGGAGATAGATGGCTGTAGTTTCCTTTCAAACCTGCAGTAAAACACATTCAGGTCATCTGCTAGTTGTTGATTTCCTTCTGCCTGGGAAGGAGGTTTACTGTAGCCGGTGATGTTTGCAAGAGTTTTCCGCATGTTTGCTGGTTCATTTGTTGAGAACTGATTCCTTAACTTTTCAGAATAGCTTCTTTTTGCTCCTCTGATTTCTCTGGCAAATACATTTCTGGTCTGATTGTATGGCATTCTGTCACCTTTTCTGTAGGCTTCCTCTTTGGAACAACATAGCTGCTTAAGTTTGGCTGTGAACCAAGGTTTATTGTTACTATCAAAATTAGAACAACTGTATTGTAGACACACATTAATAGGAATTGGAATGGATAAATTTTATACAAAAGAAATAAAGTAGTTTAACTTTGGATCTCTAGGCTGCTCGAACCTTGAACATAGCATTTTCAAAAAGCAAGATGAATTAGGATAATGATATTCAAAGTGAAGATCATGTTTCATTGATAGGGCTTGTTTTGCCACTTCCTGAGTTGGTTTAAAACATGAGATGGCATGTAATATGATGGGATTTCTTTGCTAACAAAGCTGGTCCCTGCCTTAAAAGTGTTTCTGTTGAGCAGCTGGGTTGATGAGACTCACTTATCATTTTCATTGGTTCTTATTAGACCTACATTTCTTCAAGTCTAAGTAGACAGTTGCTATGGGGGAAATAAGTGCTCTCAGATTGCTTTCATACATTTTTAGTACAGTGGAGTTGAATCTGAGATGTCACATTGCAGTTTGCTCCTTCTCACTACGCATCAACATTAATCTTTGCTTACAAAATACTTACTATACTTTACCATATGCATTTTTCGCATGTATGATTGATGATTCTCAAGATCGCTTGATCTGTACAAAACAAAATCTGCACTAGCTAAAGGCCAACCATATTACCAGATTGGCCTTTGATTGTAATATTAATTATATTAACAAAACTCCTTACATCTGTCTTCTTACGCTCTTTACACTCTGATAAAAAGTGATATCCCATTAGCATGGACTACAATCATATTTTCAGTAGTTTTTATCTCCTTTCTGACACTGGAAGCTATTACATAAAATTTGCCACATTATGATAACATCTTTTCCTTATCTGATAAATGTACAAAAATACCAGATCTGAATTGTCTGGGATTTTCAACAAAAAGGGAGTAATGTGCTACCTCTGTAAAGAACAATTTCTGAAAAAAAAATACAATATAAAAATGTGTGGGTAATATTTTAAATTACTCCAGATCTACAAGGGCAGAAATGCTTTTTGTATAGAATGCCTTTAACGGTCTTATAGAAATGCAGATAATAACATACCAAATATTGTTTTTATAATAAACTATTTTGGAGAAGACAAAGAGAGAAGATAAGAAATAGATTTCCTTCTATGTGAATTATCCAGTTTTTGATTCCACTATTTTTAAGGATGTGATACCTAGCTGGATCAATATTTTAAGTGTATTGCCTCATGACCTCCTAGAATTGCTGCATTCTCATAACCCAAAGAAAAAAAGCACTTTAAGGGATCAATCTACCAAATGCAAGTTTAACACTATGGTCTACTTCTACCTGGATAAAAGCCAAAGATCAATAACAAGTACTATTCAATTTGTTTGAAATATGATTTTGAACATGTGGAAGCACAGGTGAAACACTTTGTTGAATAATGAAAGTAAGTGACTTTCTTCTTTTTCTCAAGTTAGTGCAACAGAACCGCATCTGTTGATTTTATATGCATGATGCACGCAGGACCCCTTCAATTTTTAATTTCTCTTGGTACTTCCCCACATCCAGTCTGTATGTTCACTCATGCACAGAAACAGCTGATAGATTCTGAAACGGTTCCAGGAGTTTAAAAAAATATACTGCTATTTTAATAATCCCAGAGGTGTTCTTGCAGGCGCCCCAATGTTTTTTAAACTATTTATTTTAAAGGATTTTTCTAGTCTTATTTGTGATGATTTAACAAAATAACAGAGTTGGAAGGGACATTGAAGGTCTTCTAATCCAAGACCCTGCTCAAGCAGGAGATCTTAAACCATTTCAGACAAGTGGTTGCCCACAACTTCTGAAGGCAATCCATTCCATTAAACGAATTGTTCTGTCAGAAAATTTCTCCTGAATTCTAGGTCGATTCTCTCCTTGATTAATGTCCATTCATTGCTTCTTGTCCTGTGTTTAGGTGCTTTTGGGAATATGTTGACCTCTCTTCTTTGTGGCAATCCCTTAGGTATTAGAAGACTCTATCTTGTCATCCCTAGTCCTTTTTTTTTCATTAATCGAGACATACCCAATTCCCACAACTGTTCATTTGTTTTAGCTTCCAAATCCTCTAATCATCTATTGTTGTTCTTCCCTGCATTCTTTCTAGAGTCTCAACATTTTTTTAATATTGTGGTGACCAAAATTGGATGCAGAATTCTAAGTGTGGTTTTATCAAGGCTCTAGAAATTTCTATTAACATTTCATATGATCTTGATCCTATCCCTCTATTAATGCTGCCTAAGGCTGTATTAGCTTTGTTGGTAGCTCATATTTAAGTGATTGTCCACTAGGACTCCAAGTTCCTTCTCAGTTACTGCTATTGAGCCAGTTAGATTTGATATAGCAAATAAGTGGTTTGAACGCAGGTATTTTTAATTCAAATTTAGTAGAAAAAAGTGTATCAAAAAGCATGGAGAAGAGAGAAGATGTTTAACAGAGGTATTTTACTTTCAAATGCAGCCTGAAGTGGTTCAGTGATTCATTGCTGCAGAATACAGCAATCAAGAGTTCAAACTGAAATGTAAAAATACTATTAGTTTTTATTAGCTTTCTTAATTCTAAAAACTGTATTTCTTAACCTTTTCAGTTAATATTTTGAAAATCTTTGAAATTGGTGATTGTATGAAAGTTTCTATCAGGTTGAGTTGATGCAGAAGTGAAAAAAATATTGGCTAGGAAATGAGACAGTAAAGCTACTAGTGCTCTTGAGTGAAGATGATCTCCAAATATAATTAATTTTCAAATCAAATGAGGTTGAAATTTGCCAATCAAGCTTCTGAATGTGTAAATAATTGCTTTAGAGATTCCTGTTATATATTACAGGGTTAAAGTAATAGATTTTGACCTTAAAATAAAAAGGGTAGAATAAAAATAATACCAGAGCTTCTTTAAGCCCTGGTCCACAAAGACAGAAACAGATGTATACTTGTTCAGAAAAATTAAAGACTAGGGGCTTTTGTAAAAATACCCCTTAAGCACAGTGGGGCTCTTAAATGCTTATTGTTGTTACAAACTAGGATGACATAGTAGTTCACATTTCTAGCATTAGCTTTAAAAAATTGGACTTGAATTTCTGGGTTAGGTTACAAAAGAAGATGCTTAAACACTAATTTTTCTACAGCAAGATCTTTTTACCTGGTATTGGTTGGCAGTCAGATTCATTTGATCTACCTAATATGTCATGTTGATTAAATAAAAGTTTGTGGATGCTTCAGAAACTATCTCGCCATTCTTCTTTAAGGTGTGGGAGTATGATTAGCTTATGATTTTAAATAAAAAAAGATGAAGTCTATATTTCTTTGGATTGATTTTACATTTCTATTTTTTTTAAATACTGAAGTACTTAAAAAAAACCCTTTCTCTATATGATAAGATCATCCATCATCCCTACAGTTTCTAGCTTGAAAAAGTATGCCTTCCACCAAATTGTCATCAACTTTACTCATTTGTTTTTTTTCCCCTCCTCTTCCTAGAACTACGCAATGATGCTTCAGCAGCAGGCTAATCAACATGTGCAAAACACCACTGATCAGCCTGATTTTGGAGCACATCTCACAAAGGAGAAACTTAATGCCCTTCGAGATGAGCAAATTGGACAGCTAAATGAACTAATGAAAGAGGCCACCAAACCAAAGAGACAGTTCAGTATTTTAGATGATGGAGACTGCAAACATTAACACATTTTCTGAATTTCATTTTATGGTGTTTCTTTCTTTTTCTTTTTGTATTTTTCCCCCAAAATGGTTTTATTCTAAAGAATAATGGAAGATGGTAAAGATATGCATAACAAATGATCAGAAATAGCTAGTGGCATTTATATATTATGTATAGCCTGCACTAAGCGTGTAGAATAGTTCAATATTTTGGAACATTTCAGCTATGTTAAATTTACTATATGCAGGGAATGAATTAAAATGGCTTTGTACTAAGAATGTATTTTGTGAATAGCCGGAACATCAGAAAGGGAAGAACTCTGAATTGCATATTGATGCAAGTTTAAAGTTTAATAGTTGTTTTGCTTTTTTAAAAAATAGAATATAGTTGTATGTATTTAATATAATTTATTGTTTAATTCAAGTGTCTTGAAGATCATATCAAATTCTGCTTTTGAACTTACTTTTAAATACTAAAATCTGCCTTCTTCTTTTCTTTCCTGCAAAAGAAATTTTGTTTTTTTCTATTTCATTTTAAAGCACTAAGGTAGCAGATGGCATTGTTACTCTTACTGTGATGCACCTTTGTATCATTCTTCTGCCTCCCATGCTGCTCTTGCTTTGTGTTCTAATAAAAGTTCTCTTGCTATGTCTTCCCTTGAGATTTAATTGGGATATAACAAGCCAAGCAAGCTCCAGACTGCTGGGAAGAAGATGGTTCAATGCGAGAAGAAAATCTGCATACACAGACCAGCTGCTTCTTAACTAAAAAAAAAAAAACCCTAAAGAAATTCTGCATCCAACAGTTTTAAGAAGAGAAGTTAAACTGAATAGGTGGACCTTGCTTTTATTTAATATGCACAGTTCTCCAGAACCCAACAAGACCCTCCTTGTTTAAAAATAGTTATGCTCTGGATATTTTTTAAAATATACTTCCATTTTTAAACAAATCAAATATGAATTCAGTGTAGATGAAACAATCAGGTTTTATAAGTGGTAACTGGAAGTAAAAAGAAGTTGATCTCTGTTTATATTAATAATGCTACACATAATTTTTAGATGGAGGATATCTGGTAGGGTTTGATAAGAACTAGGGTAACTGTAGTGATGACTTTGACCCAGAAGATCTAGATTCAGAATAACAGAGTTGGAAGGGAACTTGGAGGTTTTCTAGTCCAACCCACTGCTCAAGCTGGAGACCCTATATTATTTTAGACAAGTGGCTGGCCGGTTTCCTCTTAAAAGCCATGAGTGTTGGAGCACCCAGACCTTCTGAAGTCCATCTTCAGCCATGAAAGCTCACTGAAAGAGTCACACTAAAGTACTTGTCATGATGAACATGGTAAATTAAAAACAGGCAGAAAAAAACCCCATTTTTACTTTGACAATAGTTTATCCAAGGTTTAACTCTATTTCTTTATTGCATTCCAATTAAAAACTCCCCATGCTGACTGAACATGGTCTGAAGATTTAGGACGAGTTCCCCAAAAATTTTTTTTTAAGAAAGCTGCAAACCAGTTATAGGTTTTGTTTAAAATGTGAATGAGGATCAAGAAGGTGCATGTTTTTGGAATAAAAATCTCTGCCTTCTTGTAATTATTGATATTAATTAAGAAAAGATAGCTAAATCTCACTACTGTGTTTCTCATATAATAAGGCCGGGTCTTATTTTTTTTTGAGCCCCGAAAAAATAGCTAGGTCGTCTTTTCGGGAGTGACTTAATTCCCCCCCTTGCATCTTCGGGCGGGCTGCGACAGCTTGGATGTTGACCTCGGCGTTGGTGGGGCACTTCGTATTGGGGTCAATGCAGGCAGCACCATATCTGGATGTGTAACAAAAGTACTTCCTAACAGCAAGCCCCCCCACCATTCCCCACCATTTCGCATGTTTTAATATAGGCCTTAATTTGGGGGTAGGGGCTTAATTTTATGCCTATAAAACATGCTGGGACTTTCTATTGGGGGAGGCCGTATTGTTGGAGAAACAGGGTACATGACAAACATAATGCATATTTTCACTTTTAGACACCAGTATGATTCTGATTTATATAACCCAGGTTTATGGGTGCAATAAATAATTAGAGCATTTAGTGTCACCATCTTGCATCTAATGCCACACCCAGAAGCATGATCTGGTCACAAATTTCAGGAGGTTGTTGATTTGTAAGTACTCACTGTTTGGTGGATGGTATCTTGGAGAATGGTAGCAATATTTTCCCATGTGTTTCATGTCTTGGGACCTGTCTTGACATTCAATTGATGTGGGAGTTTTTTGCCCAAGATATATAGAGATCATGGAAAAAAAGAAATGAAAACTTATTTGCCTGGTCTGAGTCCTTTATCATCCAAACATCTATTAAAAACCTCTCAACTGCTGTAAATGAAAAGAAGATTTTTCCTCAGCTTTAAAAAAAGTAATCACCTATTTCCAATCTTCCCGATATACTGTATATTATTTTGACCTTTCTCAAAACAATATTTTCACTTTGAATTCCTAGTTTAAAAATGATTTGGTGTAGAAATAACTTTGTTGCAAGGTTACAATAGAAGTGACAGTGATTAAAATAGCTGAATATAACATTAGTTTCCATTAAAATGTCAAAAAGTGCATGTCTCCTGAAAATTACTAAGTAATTCAGTTTTCAATTTTCTTTTAACTTTGAGTGTTAGCTAAATAAGTTGTTCTTACCTAAGTCAATTTTAGTTATTTGCCATTTTAGTGGGACCTTATTGTTCTTTACCAATTAGATAAACAGGATCCAGATACCCTATTTCGTCAACTAGAGAAAGATCACAATATTTCCTGAGACATCAATACCAATTGGAATATACAACAGAAAGAACTTTGTACATTTAGTTTAGAATTTCATCTTACAAGCTGTATATTGAATTAATTCTTATTTTAAAATGGGATAGACAGCATTTTGGTCTTTCTATTAAGGGAGAGTTCACGGATAGTTTCAAGCTTTATAACTTCAGTAGGTAGGGCTGAAATACTGGTCCTTTTGGGGTAATGATGGAAATTTAAAAACTAAATGAGTATATTTACCCTGGAGTTAAGCCCTTATTTTAGCAAAAACAAACAAACCAGAAACAGAAACTAACAAGCAAAGGATATTTAGGCAGCTGTTAATTGCATCCAGGCCACAATTTATTCATTTTAATCCATAGGTAGGTTAGAATGCAAATCAAAGCTTCAATATTCGAACACACAAGAACACAGTATGACCATTGCTGTTATTACCGGTGAAGAGGAAATGTATTTTCCCTTCTGCACCTCAAAAAGGACATACTGGTATACATTAAATACAATAATTAATACTGTGATAGTCCATTTATTGACAAACTTGGAGTAATATTCTCATGCATCTTTGATTTGGACAAATGTATTGGTCTCCTATTTGTTTCCACAGCAGTGCAAAGGTGGTTTGTTGTTTTCTTTTAGGATTCTACACCGCTTGTATCCTGCTTCTGTCACTATCTTCCTCCCCATTACTTTGATATCCTTAGATTTTCTTCCTACAGAATCCCTGCTTCAGGAGGAAGGTTAAGAAAAGTGGTAGAATAGGATGAACTCCCTGTTTTCCATTAATCTCCCCCACCCCCCAATCCCCGACTGGCTCCTTATTGCTGAATTTATTTAATAACCTTCCTATTCAGTATATTAAATGGAAAATTCAAAAAGGTTTGTAATTTTGTATAAAGGCAGTTAAATCTTTCAGGTATAGGTTTCAGTGTTTGTGAGGGGGTGTGCTTTTAAAATAATAAATAAGCTTGAAAAGTACAAGTAATCATAAAAATATAGTTTGATTATAATAAAGCAATGTTTCTAATAAAGTTAGTGAGTATTTCTCTTAATAACCAAGTTGCCAGTATTCAAAAAGGATTATCCATAACAGAATCTTGCAAATCTGCCTATGTTTTCACTTCACTGCCTCTTATACCTCAGGGGAGGGATAGGGAGCTGAGAGATAGACAGACAGACAACATAGAAAAAATGAGACAGGACAGGACAGGGTGAAATAATTATATATAATAATTATTTGTCTCCTATTTTTCCTACAATAATAATGGGGAGGGGTGGGCTGAGAGAGAGTAATTTGCCAAGTCACCAGCCAGCTTCTATACCTAAGATGAGACTAGGCTTCTATACCTAAGATGAGACTAGAATTCAGTCTCCTGGTTTCTATGCCAGCAGCATAACCACTAGTACAAACTAAGTCTTGTTAATTAATTACAAAATTAATCCATTTCAGCATATTTCAGGAACACATTTAAAGTACAAAGATCCGAGGGGGGGATTTTATTTTACTGTTAATTAAAAAGTCCCAGGAAAACACATTTGGCACACATTGCTCTGTGATGGAAAAGTGCTGCAGAGATTGAGATTGTTTAACTTAATGTATTGTTTTAATTCTGAAGCCATCCAAATCCACAATTGTGGCCAGTTTAGAATGAGAAAAGAATTTAAAAGAAACAACATATCTCAAAGAAAGAAAACGAGTGACTGTAACACTGGGCCATAATACAAAAAGATAAAATCCTATCAGAAGGCTTGTGAGAAAGCCAGGAAGCTAAAATCTTGTGAAAAATCATCACGGAGAAGACTTCCAGAAACCATTAGATGGAAAAGCATGTTAGACCAAAAGTAAACTAAAGTATTGGCTGGCTGACATCCTGAAATCACAACTTAGTTTAAGAGCTTTGGTGGCGCACTGGTTAGAATGCAGTACCGCAGGCTACTTCTGCTGTCTGCTGTCTGACTGCAATTTGGCAGTTCAAATCTCACCAGCTCAAGGTTGACTCAGCCTTCCATCCTTCCGAGGTAGGTAAAATGAGGACCCAGATTGTTGGGGGCAATATGCTGACTCTGTAAACTGCTTAGAGAAGGCTGTAAAGTACTGTGAAGAGGTATATAAGTAAGTACTATTATAAAGTGCTATTATTAACATGGTCTTATTTTCAATATTTTCTTTTAGTTATTTTTTTCATCATAATTGTAACTGCAAACAGTTGCTAAAAGTGACGATCTGTTACTATAAACTATCTCAATAAAGGATGATTCTGTGGAGTTATTTTTCCTTTCTTGTCTACACTGCAGATCTAACCAATAGCAGGACAGAAAATAGGAAAGGCATTATAGGAAAGCAATTAGGACTGAAATCTGAAATTGCTCAAAAGTTTAAAAGGAACAGACAATCTCCACCCCTCACTCTTCTCATCATCTCTCATCACCTCTGATCTATCTATTTCACGAGGCTGCTAGGTAAGATTTATTTATTTATTTTTGTCAATTGTTTACAAGATAATAGGTATAAGTAAAAACATAGTTATGGATACATGAATACATATAAGAAAAATAAAAGAAATAAAAGAAACAATAGGACAGGGATGGTAGGCATGTTGGTGCGCTTATGCACGCCCCCTACAGGCCTCTTAGGAAAGGGGTGAGGTCAATAGTAGACAGTCTAAGGTTAAAGTTTTTGGGGTTTGGGGAAGAAACCACAGAGTCAGGTAGAGTATTCCAGACATTGACCAATCTGTTGCTGAAGTCGTATTTCCTGCAATCAAGTTTGGTGCGATTAACCTTGAATTTGTATCTATTGTGTGCTCTTGTTGTTATGGCTGAAGCTGAAGTATTCATTGATAGGTAGGACACTGCAATGTATGATTTTATATACTATACTTAGATTGGACTGAAGGTGGCGTAGTTGTAGGTTTATAGAGTAGTTTGTCGTGTACTACTG